AGTAAGGGAAGCCCTACCAGTGCCCCGACTGCAGGAAGAGCTTTGGCTGCTCCTTCCACCTCAAATGAACCCCCTGATGGTGAGGCAACCCCTGGAGTCCAGTGACTGTCACTCCATCCCTTTCAACCACAAAGGACCAGTCCCCTTTCCCAGGGGCAGCTTCTTCCAACAGAACCCTTCCTGGTGGGGTGTGTTCAGGTTTCTGCCTTGGGTGGGGACGCCCCCAAGGTCACTGCTGGAGGTTGAGAGCAGAGATCTCCCCATGAGCGTTGGTCTGGGGGAGTTCCATACAACTCTAATTAAGAATTCTTTCTTTTGTGCCAGCTTGAGTAGAATTGCTTCAACAATTGCTTTAGTGTAGAGCCCTGTCCTATCTTATCCTGTACTCCTGGTAGTTTTAGTGTCTCTATTGTGCAGTAAATAATTCTGAGGAAGATCTTCTGTCTGATCATTTGTATCTCTAAATATTTCATTTTTATCAATAGATCTGTTTTACCATCATTAAAATCACGGAGGACCAAAGTGATTCAGTCACACTTCTGTAATTCCTCTAAAGTGGTGGCATAATCCAAGGCTGAGATTCGATCCAGCAGCCCCCAGTACCCCACAGTAAGTTGGGAGCTCATGGGACCAACCCCCTGGTGCTCAAAGACTCCCATGGGACCATCAGACTTGCCAGACCACCCTCCCTTTTCCACCCTTCTCCCTGTTCCTCCCACTTTAGGACTGTCCCCTCAATCCCCAATTTCTGCCGTGAACAGTTTTTGGGTCCCAACCCCCACTTTTTGTTCCCTCTCCTGTGGGCACTGAAGGAGAAAATGAGGCTGCACACACAGAGTTCCACTGCGGGCCTTGTCCGCCCATCTTTCCGGCGTCCCCCTTTCATTGGGGTTCCTTTGGAAACAGCGCCTGGGGTTATGGCCGGCAGGAGTTCCAGAACACACGCAGACAATCAATATGATCAGGCGATGTTCAATTTATTATTTAAATGAGTTAACTTTTATACAGTTTAGTTTTTCCCGGGTACGTGCTTACAACAAGGTGGTTGGATAGCTCAGTCTGTGCACGCGGACCACGCCTTCGGATCATTGGTTCTGGTGCTCTGTCCACGCGGCCTGACATCATAGGGCCACCCAAAGTCCCTCCTGTTGATCCGCCCTTAGGGACTTTCCAAGATCTTGCAGATGTTCCTTTATCTCCAGTTTTCCCAAAACTTTCAACTATAAACACAGGATTTTCTCATACCTAGGACTATAAACGTATAGCTAACAAGTATAAACATTGCATAGTTCACAGAGTTTGTAAGTATAAACACAGAGCTTTCACACAGTTTGCAACCTCCAAAGTCGTGTCAAGCAGGGCCTAGTGCTCCTTAAAAACCATCATACATTCCCATTGCAATGGTCAGTTACCATGGAAACCATCATACAGTCATGTTGCTACGGTCAGTTACCATGGCAACCATCATACATTCCCATTGCTATGTTCAGTTACCATGGCAACCATCATACATTCCCATTGCAATGGTCAGTTACCATGGCAACCATTCTACATCCCACTGCTATGGTCAGTTACCATGGCAACCATCATACATCCGCGTTGCTACGATCAGTTAGCATGGCAACCATCTGAATTCCAGTTTCTGTGGTCAGTTACCATGGCAACATCATACAGTCATGTTGCTACAGTCGGTTACCATGGCAACTATCATACAGTCCCATCACTACGGTGAGTTACCATGGCAACCATCATACAGTCACGTTGATACAGTTGGTTACCGTGGCAACCATCATACATTGTCATTGTTACAGTCAGTTACCTTGGCAACCATCATGCATTCCCGTTTCTATGGTCAATTACTACAGCAACCACCATACTTCACACTGGTACAATCGGTTACCATGGCAACCATGACACATTCCTGTTCCTACAATCAGTTACCATGGCAACCATCATACATTCCCATTGCTACACACAGGTACCATGGCAACCATCACACATTCCCATTGCTACGGTCAGTTACCATGGAAACCATCATACTTTCCAGTTGCCACAGTCAGTTGGCATCATAAAGTCCCGTTGCTATGCTCAGTTACCAAAGCAATCATCATACATTCCTGTTGCTATGGTCAGTTACCATGGAATCCACCATAGATTCCCACTGTTATGGTTGGTTACCATGGCAACCATCATACAGTCCCATTGCTAGGCTCAGTTACCATGGTAACCATCACACATTCCCATTGCTGCTATCAGTTACCATGGGAACCATCATACCTCTCACTGGTACAGTCAAATACCATGGCAACCATCATATATTGCTGTTCCCATAGTCAGTTACCATGGCAACCATCAGACATTCCCATTGCTATGGTCGGTTACCATGGCAACCAGCATACATTTCCATTGTTACCGCTGAGTGTCTTTCTGGCCCCAGGTTTGCAGAGCCACAAGGAGACACCTCTGTTGACTCAGCTGAGTCCCTTCCCTCAGTGGGGGTGAAGGAGATCCCTCCTGGGCACTGTCTGGGTTTCCTGTCTAATGATGGGACATGAAAAGGGGACTCTTGAAGTTAACTCTGTGTCTCTTTGGAGAAATGGCCCTGCTGAAAGAAGTGTCTGTGCCCAGCTGAGAGAAGGCACATCATTATTTCCTTCAGTTGTGTGCCAGCAAGTTCCTCTGGAGCCCCAGGGACAGCTGGAGGGAGCCCAGAGGGGCAGAGCAAGGGCTACCTGGGGCTGTTGCTGTGCTGCTGAGCTGGACTAGGCTCGTGGCACACAGGGAGCTCCTGGCAAGCAAGAAGAGCTTCAAAGAGACAGCTCTGCCCAGGAGCAGCTCTTCTGCACAGCCCAGCAGGGCTGAGGGCACTGCCTGCAGCACCCAGGGCACAGGAGAGAAGGCAGAGAGATGAGAGGCAGCCTGGGCTGGGAGGTGACTGAGCTCTTACTACGGGAGAAACATTCCCAGGATTTCAACGAAGAATTCTCTGGCTGTAGGAAAGTTCAACTTGCCTTCCTGGAGGCATCTCCTAAAGCTGCCACATCCCACAGCTTACAGGATCTTTCAGCAGGACTCTCCCAGTTGCTGCAGTGCAGGGGAAGTGGCCATATGGCAGAGCAGGGCAGGAGCTGCAGGCAGCAAGGGCAGAGAGGAGAAGGGAGCAGGAGGTTCAAGGGATCCTGGGCTGGGAGGACAGGGCAGAGCTGCTCAGGGCAGGAACCTTGCCAGCCCTTTGCCAGGGTCAGGCTGTGGCTGCAGAGCAGTGCAGGTGAGTTCCTGCAAGTGCCTCTCCCAGCTGCCAAATGGCAGCAGTGGCAGGAGCTGTCAGGATGGCTCTGCTGGATTTGCTGGGGTGCAGCAGGAGAAGCTGCTGCAGAGCAGGACTTGCTGCTGCCCCCTCAGAGGCCCAGGGCCAGAAGGTTCCCTGTGGCCAGGGCTGGCTGTGGGGTGGGAAGGTGGGGGTGCAGCCAGGGGTGCCCAGGGCTGTGGGGCAGAGCAGGGTCCTGCCCCCAGGGCTCTGTGTGCTGGGGCAGGGACTCTGCTGCCTGCCAGGGGCAGCTCTCAGCCCGGCCAAGGAGCTGCCACGGGGCTGGGGGAGAAGGGCTGTGGGGAAGGAACAACTCCTGGGAGGGCAGAGCAGGGCAGAGTCCTTCTGATCTCCAAAGTGGGCTCCAGGGATGAGGGCTGGTCACAGCTCCAGATCTAAGCAGGAAATTTCCCAGAAGGTATTTGCAAGAAGCACAGACAGACAGGGAGTACTTTAAAGAGAAAGAACCAGTTCTCTCAGTGTTATACTCTGGGTTGTCTGGGTGCTGACTGCGATAGAGAAATCAGTCTCAGAGCACAGGATACTGCAACTTGAACTCTGTTAGATTAGAGGGGATTGAACCTGAGAGTATCAGACATCAAAACTCTCTTACAGACAGCATCAGTGTCACTTTTCCAGCCTCCTCAGGGTTGCTCTTACATTGCCAGCAGAGCCTGCCCAGCCAGAGATGCCCCTGGGCAGTGCCCTGTGCTGCTGGGAGGGCTTTGCAGGGCAGAGCTGAGCCCCCAGGTGTGGGCTCTGACAGCACTGCCAGGGCCCAGCCCTGTGCCCAGGGACGCAGCTGCTGGCAGGGACAGCTCCAGGCAGCAGAGCCCTGGGCAGGGAGTGGGGGGGAAGTGTCCCCAAGGCCTGGGGGAGGGGGTGTTCAGGCAGAACTGGGGGCCCTTCCCTGCAGCTCTGCTGGGCACTGTGTGCTGGGCCATAGAAATGAGGATTTCTGCAGTGGAAAAGAACCTTCCCCAGGTATGATGGTAAAAATAGAAAACACAGGTACAATTATTCTAAGTTCAGACTAAGCTTCTGCTCTACAGCCCCAGCTCTTCTGAGTTATGAGTGTAGAGGTGGAACTTTTGTATTCAAGGTGGGTTACATCTGACATTCCTTGTGTGTGTGAGAGCTCTACCAAAAAATTCCATTTCCCCCTGGAGCAGAGCAAAACTGACTCCTTGGCAGTGCATTTGGTGACATTTGACACATTGATTTCTTGTAGCAATGGAGTGGTTTTTTCACAGAGGTGTGTCTTAACTCTTCCCTGTCCTTTCCTTTTTTGAACAGACACTATGCTAAGAAGCAGCAAATGTCCAACAGCAGCTCCCTCACCCAGTTCCTCCTCCTGGCATTTGCAGACAGGAGGGAGCTGCAGCTCCTGCACTTCTGGCTCTTCCTGGCCATCTCCCTGGCTGCCCTCCTGGCCAACGGCCTGATCCTCAGCGCCGTAGCCTGGGACCACCACCTGCACACCCCCATGGGCTTCTTCCTGCTCAACCTCTCCCTCACAGACCTGGGCTGCATCTGCACCACTGTCCCCAAAGCCATGCACAATTCCTTCTGGGACACCACAACCATCTCCTACATGGGATGTGCTGCACAGCTCTTTTTCCTTGCCTTTTTCATTTCAGCAGAGTTTTCCCTCCTCACCATCATGTGCTACGACCGCTACGTTGCCATCTGCAAACCCCTGCACTACGGGACCCTCCTGGGCAGCAGAGCTTGTGCCCACATGGCAGCAGCTGCCTGGGCCTCTGGGTTTCTCATTGCTCTGCTGCACACAGCCAATACATTTTCCCTGCCCCTGTGCCAGGGCAATGCCCTGGGCCAGTTCTTCTGTGAACTCCCACACATCCTCAAGCTCTCCTGCTCACACTCAGGCTACCTCAGGGAAATTGGGCTCATTGGGGTTACTGCCAGTTTATCATTTAGTTGTTTCATTTTCATTGTTTTCTCCTATGTGCAGATCTTCAGGGCTGTGCTGAGGATCCCCTCTCAGCAGGGACGGCACAAAGCCTTTTCCACGTGCCTCCCTCACCTGGCCGTGGTCTCCCTGTTCCTCAGCACTGCCACATTTGCCTACCTGAAGCCCCCCTCCATCTCCTCCCCATCCCTGGATCTGGTGGTTTCAGTTCTGTACTCAGTGGTGCCTCCAGCACTGAACCCCCTCATCTACAGCCTGAGGAACCAGGAGCTCAGGGTTGCCATAAGGAAAATGATGACTACATGTTTTTTGAGAAGCAATAAACTCCATCTTTTCTTCTGCAGAACACTCATTGTATAACTAATTTTGGGCCCAGCCTGCCTTCTAAAGCTTTTAATAGTTGTGGTGGTGGGGGATTTTCCTGTTTTTTTACTTCTGTTGATGTCATTAAGACTGAAATTTTATTCGTCATCCCATATTGTATTCACTGTCTATGTCTTTTTTCTTTTTGACCCACAAAATATACAAATCAGGAATCATGCTTTGTGTGCATTTGAACAAAATAAAAGTTCGTGCAGAAAGATATTTGTCAAACATCCTCCCTGTGATAGTTTGTATATGAGGAATCACAATCTCTGAGTGTAAGAAAGGACACAAATTCTTTTCTCCAGATTCTTCCTCAAGACCTCCCCTGAAGCTGGAGAACATTTCCACGTTTGCAGATGTGGAGAGGAAAAGAGTCCCAGCACTGCCAGGGAGCACCAGAACTGGGTCTGTTCAGAGCTGCTCTCTTTGCACTCCCACCCTCTCCTTTCCTGTCTGTGCCCAAGGCCTGAGTGCTCTGGCAGCTCAGTCACTGTCCTGCTGTGGGTCAGGCCTGTGAGCACAGGCAGGGACAGGCCCTGGGCACTGCTGGGACAGGGCTGGGCTCCACAACAGCAGTTCCAGCAGCAAAGGGGTTCCCCTCCAGGCTGAGGTCTTTTCCCAACACTGGTATCGAGAAGAAGTCCAAGGTGGACTCTCCAAAGTCTTGTTGCTTTGCTTGTTTCTCATGGAGACAGTGCAGTGAGGTCACGGACCCACTGGGACTGCAGGGACTGAGGGCTGGGTCAGATGTTGTGTGTTGGTGGCTGATGGCCAATGGAGGTGACAAATGGTCTCCAAGTCACCTGCCTAGGGCTCTGCAGATTGTGAGGGCTCTGATGGCAGGTGAGGACTTGTCTGTAGGAACTCAGGAAGTGCAGGAGAGCACAGAGGATCTGCAGGGACAGCCCGTCCCATCCAGTCAGCAGGGAATGGAACCCTGGAGCAGAATCCTGCCCAGGGTGGAGTTACTAGAGATCAAGTACAAAATCTCCCTGTGAAGGGGCAAACAGAGCTCTGCAAGCCCAGGGGACACAGCAGGTACAGGGAAAACTCTTGCCAGTGACTTCTCTTGACCTCAGTGAACTTCCCCAGGTCAATCAAGATCAGCCCCCAAAGCCATGTCCCAGCTCTGGAACAAGGCAGGGCCCCTCTGAGCCCCCCCCATGGCCACACAGGAGGGTCTGTGGGAGGTGGTCAGTGGCAGGGAGCACCATCAGCTGGCTCTGCCTCCCAGCTGGAGCAGCACAGCCCAACAGAGTCCCCCATGGCCCCGGGCCCCAGAGAGCAGCCTCTCCAGCTCAGGGGCTGTGGGGAGCACAGGCAGGGGGTGCAGGAAGGGCTGCTCAGGCCAGCACAGATGTGTTCCCCTGGGGAAAGGCTCTGTGGGGAGATGGGATGTGCCAAGAGAAGAGCAGGACACCCTGTGTGAGCAGAGGGACATGGAAAGAGGCTGCCCTGGCCCTGGGGAAAAGAGGGGGCAAAGCAAAATGTGGGAAACTCTCTGGTCTGAGATCAGTTGTGCTGCCCAAGAACACACTGACTCCAGAGGTGTCCAAGCGGGGCAGAGCCGGTGACTCCGGTCCGTGCGGCGGCGGGGGGGAGGCAGCGGCTCTGCTTGATTCCATGGAGTTCTGGGGAGGCACAGTGGCCCCTTGGTTCCATGAGGCTCTGAAATATCTCCTGAAATGAACCTCCCCTTTGGTTCCATGAGGCCCTGGAGTGTCACAGTGGTCCCTTGAGTCCATGAGGTTCCTCAGGGTCAGAATGGCCCCTTGGTTCCATGAGGTTACAAAAGGTCTCAGGTTCCTTTGTTTCCATGAGGCCCCACATGTCAAAATGCCCCCTTGGTTCCCCCAGATTTCAGTGTCCCTGTGTTCTTTCATTTCCATGGAGCCCTGCAGCGGCACAATGGCCATTTTGTTCCATGAACATCCAAAATGTCTCAGGGTTCCTTTTTTTTCCATGAGGCCCCACATGTCCCTTGGTTCCACGAGATTCCACAGTTTCCCTGTGTTCTCTTGGATCCATAAGGCCCTGTAGTGTCACAACTGCCCCTTGATTCCATGAAGTCCCACAGTGTCCCTGGATTCCTTTTGTTCCATGAGGTTCTCCAGTGTCACAATGGCCTCTTGATTCCATGAAATTCCACTGTGGCCCAGGGTTTCTTTGTTTCCAAGAGCCCCTGCAATGCCACAATGGCCTCCTGATTCCATGGGTTTCCGCAGTGTCACAATGGCCCCTTTATTCAGGAGGTTGCCCACTGTCCCTGGGTTCCTTTGGCTCCATGGGGCCCTGGAGTGTCCCAGTGGCCTCTTGATTCCATGGCTTTCCCCAGTGTCACAATGGCCCCATAATTCCATGAGGTTCTGCAGTTTCACAGTGGCTCCTTGATTCCAGGAGGTTGCACAGCATCATCACAAAGCAGAGCCCATCCTGATGAAAGTTCTGAGGAGATTGGGAGGAACTGGGACAAAAGGAATAAGAAAATTGAGGAAGGAAAGAGGGGCATGGCCAAGAGAGAGGAAAGATTTTGATGAGGTAAAACCAGGTTCAGGGAATGCTGAGGTTGCTGAAACACTGACTGTGCAAACATTCCTTTATGCACTTTGTAACCTCAAGCCCCAACACTAACCAAAAGTGCTGCCCCTCCCACTCAAAGGAATCCACTGCTCTAACTCCAAGGCAGAAAAAGCCCAAACCCAGAATTCCAGACTCTTATTTGTCCTCCAATGCCCACCCCAATCCCAAACCTGTATTACCGGTATGAAAAGCCAAGCTTTAATCCTAACCCAACCCAAAACCCTCTTCCCCTAATCATGAAGCAGACACTGCCAGCAGAACAACAAACCTCCCAAAGTTCTGCCTAATCCCCACCCTGAGCTCTAAACCCCAAGCCCTGACCATTCAGCACCCCCACAGCCCTTGGGAGCAGGGCAAGGACCTGGAGGGCCCAGAGCAGGCCCAGGGGTTTGGCAGAGGAATGGGAGGTGACCTGGATCTGCTCAGCTCTGCAGTGACCCCCAGGAGAAGGGCCTGGGCTCTGTGGCACAGGGGCTCAGGATCCAAGTTAATAAGGCCAACTGCACGTGGGGCTGCCTGGGGGGGAGTGTGGGCACCCAGAGAAGGAGTTGTCACCCCCCTGGACTCAGCCCTGGGGTCACCACATCTGGACTGGTCTGTCTGTCTGTGAGGTTCCCCATTCTGGAGGAATGAGGAAGAACTGGAGAGGGTCTAGAGCAGATCTGACAGGATGGAGCTTTTCTCCATATTGGAAAAAGAATGAAATCTCCACAAAGAGCAGCATTGAAGGTGCAAATTGAAGGTGAGGAAAAAAAAATGTCACTCAACAGGGACCCTTGTGCTGCAAGAGGTCACCCAGAGGGAGTCAGGATCACCTAATCCCTGATCATGTTCCAGGGAACAGCCAGAGCTGGTGCAGAGCCATCAGGGAGGGTCTGGAAATGCTGCTGGGAGGGGGTGGGAAAGCAGGAGGGGTGTGTGCAGCCTGCAAGGCCAGAGCAGCAGCAGGGCCAGGGCAGGACAGCCTGCAGGAGAGATGGCCAAGGGCTCTGGCAGGGCTGCAAGGCCCAAAGGCACCCAGGCCTTTTCCCCTTGCCTCTGGCAGCTGCCTCTGCCACTCAGGCCACCACAAGCCACTTTCCTGGCAGGTTCTGCCCTTGGGTTCTGCCTCGCCCCTCCCTCAGCAGCCTGGCAGGGGTTGCCCAGTTTTGGGCCTTTGTTGTTCCTCCCCCTCCCATCCCAGTGCCCCCCAAACAGCCCTGAGCCAGCCGGGAGGGACAGGATCTGCTGGGCCAGGGCCTGGGGCTCAGGCCTTGGCCTTTGTGCTCGACAAAACCAAGGCAGGCTTTGCTCAGCATTGCAGGGGCCTGCCCAGAGCCTTTGTCTGCCTGCACTCCTGGCCTCCAAGGAGCTGCTCCAAGGAGTCCCTGGGGAGGCTTTGGCAGTGCCTGCCCTCAGTGGGGCCCAGCAATGCTTCAAGGCACTTGGACTTTGGCTTCTGACTTCTTCAGCAGCTGCTTCAATCTTCTCTCAGTACTTCAGGACCATGGGCTGGGCTGCAAACACCCCGTGGGGCTCATTAAATTCCAGAAATCCCTCAGGATTTCTTTGTCTTCATTTAATTGTCCTCAAGGCAATTTCAAAACAAGCCTTCAAAATTTGTCCTTTTTTTGTACTAATTCAAGGATGGATATTTTTAAATTCAGAGAAGAGGTGATATAGGTGTTCTCCAAGTGATCTTGATGCTGAGTGTCTCCTCAGGAGATCCAGACTGACCCTGGATGATCAATCTTGCTCCTCACCCCCCAACCTCACCAGTTCTGACATGGCCCATCTTGGACTGACTGTTGATGCAACTCCAAACACACTGTGGGACCATTAAAACACAGGAAAACAAATTATTTCCCTTTCTTTTAATTGTCTTCAAGTCATCAAGACTTCTACAGCTAATTGGAGTTGTTTTGTAGTTTAGCTAAGGAGGAAGATTTTAAAGTGGAAGTCATGAAAAAAATATATTTTTTAATGAAAGAGAATGATTTACACAGAGCCTTGGGCTAGGGCGCAAAGGATTTTGATCCAAAGACAAGGAGGCAAAAGACATTAGTAGCACTTAATCATTGAACAATTGAACAGTTTTCAAGTGATTCAATAGCATTTGCCACAATTTTAACAGTGACTGAATTCTAGATTCACAACAACAACATTGCCACCACAGTCAGTTCACACCCACACCCAGGCAGAGATGTGTGGACACATCAAGAGCTGGCTGTGGAAAGGTCCCTCTCCAAAATTCTCCTCCTTGTCAGGGAAACACTCCCCCAAATCCCTTTGTGTTTGCCACCAGACAAGGGTCACAGCTGGAG